GAAGACCAGCTCTGAGCTAACATCTATTGCCAATCCTCCTCCTCTTTTTCTCCCCAAAGCCCCAGTAGATAGTTGTATGTCATAGCTGCACATCCTTCTAGTTGCTGTATGTGGGACTCGGCCTCAGCATGGCCGGAGAAGCGGTGTGTCGGTGCACGCCCGGGCTCCAAACCTGGGCCGCCAGTAACCGAGCGTGCGCACTTAACCGCTAAGCCATGGGGCCGGGCCCCATAAACTATTTCTTTCTTGAAAACCCCACTGGAACCTCAATTCCTTGTTACAATTTAGAAAGACATTACAACAAGAAAAGGAAAAAGAAATGGGTCCATTCCTGAAGACCAAGAGTGCCTTTTTTTATGTTCTACCAATACCTGAGTGAGGTAAAGCTAATAAATGAAATTAATGTTTAAAAGTTTCTCTATACAAGTATTTACACTATTTAAATAGCACAGATTGGGTTTTTTTTATTTTTATTTATTTTATTTTATTTTATTTTTTTTTTTGAGGAAGATCAGCCCTGAGCTAACATCCATGCTAATCCTCCTCTTTTTGCTGAGGAAGACAGGCTCTGAGCTAACATCCATTGCCAATTCTCCTTTTTTTTCCCCAAAGCCCCACTAGATAGTTGTATGTCATAGTTGCACATCCTTCTAGTTGCTGTATGTGGGACACGGCCTCAGCATGGCCGGAGAAGCCGTGCGTCGGTGCATGCCTGGGATCCGAACCCGGGCTGCCAGTAGCGGAGCGCGCGCACTTAACCGCTAAGCCACGGGGCGGGCCTTGGGTTTTTTTAATTTGTTTTTTACTTCTTACACTAGAATATCAGGGGAACCCAGACTAAGATAGTGTTCTATTTTTTTTATTGAGGTATAAGTGACATACAACATTAGTTCCCAGTGTACAACATAATGATCAATATTTGTAAATATTGCAAATGATCACCACAGTTAAGTCTAGTTAACATTTGTCACCATACATAGTTACAGAATTTTTTTTTGTCATGAGAATTTTTAAAATCTACTCTGTTAGCAACTTTCAAATACGCAATAGAGTATTATTAACTATAGTCGCCATGCTGTACCTTACATCCCCATGACTTATTTATTTTATAACTGGAAGTTTGTACCTTTTGACTCTCTTCACCCATTTCCCATTTCACCCTCCCCCACCTCCCTGCCTCTGCAACCACCAAACTGTTCTCTCTATCTATGAGCTTTGGGTATGTTTTTGGTTGGGGGAGTTGGCGGGTGTGGTTTAGATTCCACCTGTAAGTGAGGTCATACAGTATTTGTCTTTCTCTGTCTGACTTATTTCCCTTAGCATAATGCCCTAAAGGTCCATCCATTTTGTCACAAATGGCAAGATTTCATTCTTTTTTATGGCTGAATAATATTCCATATGTATACCACATTTTTTTAATCCATTCATTCATCAATGGATACTTAGGTTGTTTCCATTCTTGGATGTTATAAACAATGCTGCAATGAACATGGTGATGCATATATCATTTCAAGTTAATATTTTCATTTTCTTTGGATAAATACCCAGAAGTGGAATTGCTGGATCATATGGTAGTTCTATTTTTAACCTTTTGAAGAACCTCTATACTGTTTTCCATTGTGGCTACATTGATTTACAATCCCACCAACAGTGCACAAGGGTTCCCTTTTCTCCACATTGTCACCAACACTTGTTATTTTTTGTCTTTTTGATAATAGCCATTCTAACAAGTATCAATTGTTATTAAGTTCAAAAAATATCTACCTACTCCAGACTATTGGGCAGCTTGCTTTTTAAACCTAGTAATATACTGTGTTTTCTATGCAACACATTTTACTACGTTTAAAACCCAAGCTTCAGAATAATTTATAGAGTATAACACCATTTTTGTAAAAGTAAAAAAGGAGGGAGGAACCTACACTGACTAGCTCATGTGAAATAACGCCCAGCTTCACAGAGTTTATTGTATCACCCTATTTCCTTCATAGTATTTGTCATAATTTGCAATCACCTTGTTTACTTTCTGTCTTCCCTCTACTTGAACCTAAGTAAGCTCCCTGACAATAGAGTTTTGTCTTTTGGAAGACCTTGGTCTTTTCCACTGCTGTATTGCCAGACCCTAGAGAATGCTAGCACATAGCAGATGCTCAATAAATTTGTTGAATATCCATAGGGAAAAGACCAGAAGGCAATGTTAACCCTGACTATGTTAGTGATTTTTAAGATATTTTTTTTTAGGTACCTTTTTCTGTTTACCATGTATTCTGTTCAGAGTATATATTACTTTTTTATTAAAGGAAAAGGTTATTTTTAAATGATCATTTCAAATTAATATTTTATATTTTGTTGAAATGCTTTTAATAATTTGAAAAACTAAAGATCGTTTTTTGAAACCATCAAAGCTCAGGTCATCAAGAACTAGCTGCAACATTAATTTTAAAGCAATTGTATATAAATAAATCATGTAAAAATATATATCATCACTAATTACCAGGGAAATGCAAATCAAAACCACAATGAGGTATCACCTCACATCTGTCAGAATGGCTAGAAATAGACCAGAAATAACAAGTGTTGGTGAGGATGTGGAGAAAAGGGAACCCTTGTGCACTGTTGGTTGGAATGTAAATTGGTGCAGCCACCGTGGAAAACAGTATGGAGGTTCCTCAAAAATTTAAAAACAGAACTACCATATGATCCAGCAATCCTACTTCAGGGTATATATCCAAAGGAAATGAAAACAGGATCTCCAAGAGATATCTGCACCCCCATGTTCACTGCAGCATTATTCACAATAGCCAAGATATGGAAACAACCTAAATGTCAGTGAACAGATGAATGCATAAGGGAGATGTAGTATATATGTATATATACAATGGAATATTATTCAGCCATGAGAAAGAAGGAAATCCTGCCATTTGTGACAACATGGATGGACAGTGAGGGCATTATGCTGTGTGAGATAAGTCAGACAGAGAAAGACAAATACTGTATGATCTCACTTGTACATAAAATCTAAAAAAGCCACACTCATAGAAACAGAGCCTTTATAAAAGGGTAGTTGCCAGGGGCTAGAGGAAATGAGGATATTTGTCAGAGCACACACTTCCAGTTATAAGATGAATAAGTTCTGGGGATCTAATAAAAAAATTTAAAAATAGAAAAAATATATGTATGACCTAACTATAAAGGAACATCTAAGTTGTGAAACATATGCTCAGCATTAAAGTTATACCAAGCCATGCTGTGTAGGGAATTTCTTAACATGAGTCTTCTTGTACTGCCTGCGAACTTCATCCATATCAAACTTGGTCTACTGACTGGAACTTTGCCACTCTCTGGACCTAGCAACTCTTAAATTCTCAAAACCACCCAGAGTAGAAGGCAGCAGTTCTGCTCACACTGCAGCACCTGTGATGTTTCAAGACAATGCACAGAGAGAATAGGCACAAGACGCTTATAAGGCTTTCTTAGTGTAAGGCTAAATTTAAGCTGACAGCGTAGACACTAATTTCACTATTAACTATTTTACAATTTAACTAACTTAGCTTCTTAGTGTGTGTCAATCAGACCAAGGCCCCAGACTTAATCATCACCTGAACTATTTACATTTGCTGACCTTGTGATCCAAGACTGGCCTCTCTACCCAGAGCCAGTCATCTCAAAAGTACACACCGCTGGTCACTGATGGGGCTAAGGTGGGGAGTCAGTAAGAAGACTGTGTAATGAGACCATTATAAATTCACTACCTACCAGTACTGGAAAAACATCACGGCTCACAGTTTAAAGACAACAGAAAGTTCTTATGCAATACATTCATGTATTTTTTAAAGAAGCTCACTTATCAATTTTACATTGGTTCCAAAACATCTAATGAAATCTAATTCAAGGCATGTTCATAATGCATGATAATCTTTTCTCCTTAAGTCAAAGAAAAAAAGAGAATTATTTGTCAATTAGGATTTATGGTTATCTCTTAGTTCTCAGTTTTATCACATTCAATAATCTTTTATAACATTATATAAAATATTCAAAATGCCTCTTTAAGGTTTTTGTCTAAGCAATTTCATGTAAAAGAGTTGGTTAGAATTTTATCATATTTGGAGAATATGTTTGGGTCTGATCTAAAATAAAGGCTAAGCAGTAAATACAAAGTTCACTTTAAGGCACCTCATAGAAGTGAGACATCATCCTCCTAAGCAGCTGACACTGAGGTGTGACGAGAGGCCTCATAATTGCTGATCAAGAGAAACAAGCCCTATGTATTAAGATGCCAGACACAGAAAACAAACAGTAGTTTCAAATATGATCCTCAAATTGAAAATCACAAGAGCAGACCTTCAGAAGAACAGGCTTTGATCTGTGATGGAGCTGCTATTTACAGACACAGCTCTAAGTGGCAACACTCCAGAGTGAGAAACAGCAGGGATTTATTTATTTAACAATGGTTAATAATTCTCCTGAGGTGAAGCCAGCTAGCTATCAAATAACACCTATTAAATTTGTAAACGGAGAAGTTCACATGAATACCAGAGGATTAAAATCTAAGATATCTACAATTTGGTATAAGTTATGTTTTAGCTACTTATTCAAAAATCTCTGCTTCATAACAAAAACATAATTAACTGTGATTTTTGGCTCAGAGCGTTACAACATAAAAAGTAAATTATTTCATTTTATTTCTCCAAATTACAGCAGATAAATCAATAAGTTTCTCATATATATATAACTGCTTTCAGGCTAAGAATTTAATATAATAATAAACTCTAAATTTATCAATTTTGCATTTTCTGTTACACTATAATGAATCATATGTATCCCAATGAATAATGAAAGCAAAAACAAGCCCCAAGCCTACTGTGCTATAAAAATTTACCTAGCTCATCATAACAACCATCTGCCTATGGGAGAGAAAAGCTTCTGTGAATCAATTATTATCCAAAGGCAATAATCTTTTCTTAAAGAAGTGAAAAGTCATGCTCACGCATGTAGATCAATACCTTTCCAGGGACCCGGAGACTCTCGATGGCACCGAGATCACTGAGGCTCTCCGGAGGGCTTTTAAGACCCTTAAAAAAAAAACAAGATAAAAGAATTTTAATTGTGCTGCAGAACCGTAAAATGATAGAACATACCTATTAGAATAGAAATCACCATTTTAAAAAATATAAATTATCCTGCTTTAAAACATATAGAACATATGTTCTAAAAACAATTGTCACTTAATACATATAGTACTATTATTATATCAAGTAAAGATGTACTTTTGGTGGTTTAAAATAAAAGTATTATATGGCACCTTCATAACTAACGTTTGAAGCCTAACTTAACCTTGTGATTCAAAAACAAACAAAAGAAAAGAAACTTGGGTGACAAAAGGCATTCTATAAAAGCACTTATCTATTAATCATTACCAAATTCACCTGGTAAAAAGGTCCAAGTATTATGATTCACAGAGACAATACACCAACCAAAGGAGCTAATCAAAGATTTTTAAATAATGCTAATTGCTTAATTAATACATAAGTAATCCCTTGATTTTACCTGATGATTTCTCACCAATGCACCCAATTTATACTGCATAATTGAGACTTAAACCTCATGTCTCACCGCTTTCTACCTGTACTTTAGCTCTTTGGTACCCAGGACTTTCTATATTCACATCAACTGAGGGATTCTGAAAGTCTCATTTGCACCAGGGAAAGTTATCAAGACAGAAAGAAGTTAGCAATTTAAATTTTCTTTCAAGGCCTCTTTTTAAAAATAGGCTATTCAAAGCAGACACCTAAAATCCCTGTAATATTAGTCTGTAAGCTAAATTAGCTGGTACATGAATCTGAGGAGAGATTTTTGCTACAGTCAAGTTTTCATCCTTTAGGTGCCCTATATTGGCCCTTCGGTATCCTTAGTAACCAAAATATATGGTACATTTAGGTTGATTATTTGAGACTTAGAGCAGAACCTGCATATTTTTAAATTATGGAGGTGTGTATTTTATCTTCCCTATTCTAAAATGCCACCAGTCATATCTACAATGTTTTATGACAAGGTGCTCTGCCTCACCCCCAAATCTTCCATTACTCCCAGAATACCCCACCCAGCCTTCTCTCTCTTACACACCCACATAGCCACCCTCTAAAGAAACCAAAACCCTACCTTAAGAATTAACTCCTCTATGAAGTCTTCCTAAATCCCTATGCTTCAAAGAACACACTATTTTTCAGTATTGTCCCTGGATCATCTCCATCAACATCACTCGGGAAGTTTTTAAACATGAGATTCCTGGGTCCCACTACAGATCTAATGAATAGGTATTTCTGGATTAGGACCAGGAATTGCATTTTAACAAGCAACGCTGGTGATTCATATAATCACTAATGTTTTAGAAACCCAGATAGACATTTTCCAACATAATACCTCTACCAAAGTAATGAAGTTTTAAATATTAAATATATCTCTTTTTCTCTCCCAGACCAAAGTCCCAAGAGAAGGGAGAGACCAAATCTTATTTGCCTCTATAGCACATTGGCTAGCAAAGTTCCAGGAACAGAGTAAACACCAAAGAAATGAATAAATTATCCAGTAGAAAAGTTTGGTCAAGCTCCAATCTCCAGCTAATTAGAAGATTGTTCCCATGGGAACATGCAATTGACTTTAAAATGAAGTTTCCAGGGAAGTTTGCTGGAATAAAAAAAGCATAGGTACTGAGTTTTACTGTCTTATAATGAGTGAGGAAATAAACGTATGTAACTACTCTTGTGCCCTTGTTCTTCCTTGTCCCAATTTCTCACCAATAGTCACCATGAGGGCAAAGCATCAAGTGGTAAAGAAGGCAAGGCTGAGTTACAGAACTAACCTTCTATATACATTATACACACACATACATTCATACATACACACATATGTGAGAGTAAATCATCGTAATTTGATTCAAAATCATGACCACCTCTAAAATACCCTGTAAAAAATGCAATTGCCATGCCTTTTAAACAAACACTTTAAAAAGTATAGATTTGTTTAACCAACCTAACAGAAATCCTTGGAGGAATATATCACATGTAATTTTTCTCTTTCCCCAGAGCTACTCAGTAAAGAAACCAATGGCTGAAACGTAAACAGTGATATACACCAACATCTAGAAAAAGATATAACCTCCAAATTAGTCACTGAACACAATAATTTGCTACTGATACATGGCAACTTTCCATGAAATGTACAAAATAAAAGTAATAACAATTGGAAACCCTATATACATATTAGGAAGCAGGGGAATGCAGTGATTCAAGGAATGGGCTCTGTGGCCTTGAACAACTTGCTTAACCTGCCTATCATTATATTCCAATGATGATGACAGTCATTAGATGGTGACAACTCAGAGGCTGCTATAAAGAGGAAAGGAGATAATGTTATGTGAAGGCCAAAAACAGTGTCTGGTACATGGCAAGCATTCTTTACGTGTTAACCATTATTCTGAATATTATTGTGATCACAGAGAAATGCTTTTCTTTTCTCTTATCAAAACAGAAATGAAGAATTACATAAATGCCTCAAAGCACAACATCTGACACTCACCTGTATCTTAGGATTATAGATCTTGAACCTTTTAATTAGCAATTTCATAAATTTTTACTAACAGAAATTAAGTCATCATTTTTACTTTATCTTTACCTCTCTAAAGCAGGAAATCATGGTTATAACTGTAATACTCCGCCTTGATGAAACTGAAACTTTCACTGTAATCACTAAGCATTATTTCCTTTTCTTCTGTATTTGGTTTTTGTTTTAATAATTCCCCCAGTTTAAATTTATACAAAATTCAGCATAAATAACACCTGCCACTGCACTTTATTTCTTTGTCCAAATCAGATTAACACTACAGACTACTTCTTTTATGTCTACATAAACCCTCAATTTCCAGTTATGACACCAGCAACTTACGTCCCCATGGTCAAAAGGAGCACGTGAGATGACCGTGTTTCCTTCTCTTTTCAGCAAAACTCCACAGAGTGTTTATACTCAATCCTCAATTTCCCTCAAACCCACCCTAATCAGGCTTTCCTCCCCGCCACTTCACAAAAAGTGCTGTTGTTGGGTCACCGATGACCTCCATGCTGCTCAGTCCAAAGGCCATTCTCAGGGCCAGCCCAGTGGCGCAGCGGTTTAGTGCGCGCGCTCCGCTTTGGCGCCCGGGGTTGGCAGGTTGGGACCCTGGGCGCGCAGGGACGCACTGCCTGTCAAGCCATGCTGTGGCGGTGTCCCATATAAAGTAGAGGAAGATGGGCATGCGTGTTAGCCCAGGGCCAATCTTTCCCAGCAAAAACAGGAGGATTGGCAACGGATGTTAGCTCAGGGCTGATCTTCCTCACAAAAAAAAAGGCGCATTCTCATTCTCACCTTACATGGCCCATCTGCAGCATTTAACATAGCTGGTCATGCCCTCTTTGAAATTCTGTACTTGGCTTCCAGTACCCACTCTACTTGGTTGTTCTCTTTATCCAACATTCACCTAACAAATATTTATTGAGCAGCTGTTATGGGACAGGTGCTCTTCAAGATGCTGTAGACTTCTTACCTCACTGGCTGCTCCTTCTCAATCTGCCTAGCTAGATCCACGGCTTCTCTCTGACCTTTTAACACTGAACTCTCAAGAGCTCCAACTTTGGACTCTTACATCTCACTCACTTCACTGGTGAGCTTAGCCAGTTTATATACCTCCTATATGCTGGTAACTCCCAAATTTTTATCTATACCCTAGATTTCTCCTCAGAAATTCAGAGTCTTTTAGCCAACTGACTACTTTATCTCTCCATTTAAATATTTGAGAGGCTTTCAAATTAACAAGTCTAAAAACATTCTCCCTTCCTTCAATCTGTTCCTCCCTCAGTCTTACCCACCTCGGTAAACGGCAAGTCCATTCTTCCAATTGCTGAGGCCAAACCATTTGGAGTCAACCTCGATGCTTCTCTTTCTCTCACAGCCCAAATCCAATATGTCAAGAAATCCTGTCAACTCTACGTTTACAATATATCCACAATCCCACCTCTTCTCAACACTTCCAAAGCCAGCACCCTGGTTAAGGCCCACACCCTCTCACACTTGGATTGCCGCAATAGCATCCTTATTAGTCTACATGGTTTTGCTTTTTCCCTCTTCAATCTATTCTTAAAACAGAGGCCAGAAAGATCTTTCTGAAGTATATGTCAAATTACATCTCTCCTCTGCTTGCTATTTCAATCAAAATAGAAGCATGGCCTTGCGACGAGTGAGGAGAAAAGCAGCAGGAGACGAGGTCAGGATGAAGTTGTGCGTGAGCCGGCTTCCTGACCTCATCTCCTATACACTCTTCTCCTCACACACTTCACTCCACCCACACTGGCCTCTTGCTATTCCTTAAACATGCTCCTGCCTCAGGCACCTCTGCATTTGCTTTTCCTTACACCTAGAATGCTCCTTCCCACATATCTACATGGTTCACTCCCTCATCTCCTTCAGGTTTTTACTCAAATGATATACCTTCTCAGCGAGGCCTTCCACAGCCACCCTATCTAAAATCATAAACGACTCCAAATTCCCAACAACTCCCAGTATTCCCTATCCTGTTTTCCTCCAAATCATTTCTCACCATGTCTGCCTGAGCACTTGTCTGTTTTGTTCACTGCTGCATCCTCCAAACTTAGAATAGTGCCTGGCACATAGTGCTCAATAAACATGTGCTGAATGAAGTGAAAGAACAGAGATCAGTATAATGGAGAAAGCAGAACAACCGATAATAAAGACAGCTAACAAAGCCCACTCTCCCACTCTACTCCAAACCAAGATCCTGGGAGAGCTGAACTGCCAAAAACCCTTAATTTCATATCTCATATTATTACATTTTCTGTAGCCTCACAAAGAAACATCTTTGTGTATATTTATTTGTAATACTACTACATTTAACCCAATAATAAAGAGCACTAAATAAAATCCCCAATGTAACTCTAGGTAGCACCCTACTTTCATACTTCATAGATTCATGAACTGTGTATTAACAATGATCAAATACATGGAAGCCAAGCCTTAAACATATGTAATTAGGATGACTTTAAAAATCTGTGTAAAACTCCTAATTTTACCTCACTTTTTACATAGTATAGTTCCAACTTTTCATATGCTTCTTTAGTTGTTTTTTTTTTCCATCCAATAAGCACAGATTGCACCCACTCAAGTCCAATAAGTAACTTGACTGAGGCTAAAGAGTTATGATTTTCAGCACAATTTCACCACATTCAGGAGACGTAAATTTATTATCACTGATATCTGGACTTTTGTCTTTTTCTGTCCCACTTATTATTACAAAATATGGTTAAAAAACAATAAGCCAACCAAAGTTGCTGTGTAATGATGACAATGTTGACTACACTGAACTGCATGGTAAGCAACATGAAAGAGCACAAACTTAACTGATGCACAAGTCCAAATTCAGCATTCCAAAGGCAGTTTAAGAGTATTAGTGGTATAACGTACAAAAGTGTATCTTATTTTAAAAATCAGATACCATAGTCAGCCCAAAATCATCTATTGTTTGAATTACTGCAACAGGCTGCTTTCAGTTTTCCTGCTTTCCTACCATCAATGCAGCCACTGAGATGATCTCTATGATCAAGCACTTCTTTGATAAGGCCCAGGAACTTCATTAGCTCCTTTATTTACCTCTTTACCTCCACTGTATCATATAAATATCACCACCAGCCTAACTCCATAAGGTACATGTTATTATTCCTATTTTAAAGAGGAGGAAACAGATGCTCAAAAAAGTTAGGTGACTTGCTCAAGGTCACAGAGTTAACTACAGGATGGAACAGGACCCAAACTCCTTCTCAAATAAGAAATAATATGAAGCATAATACTAGTACTCAACAAATGTGAGGGATTGTACTCAACAAATGTGAGGGATTGCCAAAGGTTACTACCCACTTAAATCTTTTCTTATTCACATAACTTTTTAATTCTATGTTCATGACATTAACAATATTATTTGACAGGAGTAAAATAATCATGTAGGACTCATGTATTGTTCACCAGAAACCTCAAATTTGTAACCTGTTCAGATATCTCCCAAATTCTAAATTCTCAAATAACAATTTAATTTGGAATTTCTATTTTTTTAATCAACAACAAAAAACTCATAAATGAACTTTTCATTAAATGATTATCCTACACATTCTCCAAAGTTCTCAAAACCACGTTGATTTAAAACTCTAATCTAAATTACCTTCCTCTCATATTAAAATAATAAAGATGGCCGGTTCTAGTGAAATATTAGACTTTAAATAAACAAAGGTATCTAAAACCAAGTCGTGCTCAGTAAGTACATAAAAGGAAATTTCTCTCACTTCTTGCTTGAAGGAAGTTGAAGCATTATTAGGAAGTCCCTAACATTTACAAGATAGCACAGAAAATAGCCAAAGTTTTATTTATGAATCACCATTCCGGCCAAAAATAAAAGACTATTATTTTGCCATGACAATGATTTAAAAAGGCAGCATTTCACAAACAATTTTCACATACATTCGCTTAGTGATGACCCTCATAACAGATCTGTGAGAGAAGATGAACAAAAATAATTATTCTTCTCATTTTTACATCAGGAAACTTAAACTACAAGGTTTGGGAACTTGCCCAAAGTCATATAGCTACAAATTCTGTCTTCAAATTAGCTGTTTTCACTCTTTCCAGGTCATCTCTAGGGCACAGACCTCAACTCCCTACTCAGGCCATCTGCTCAAAGACGACAGACAGCATGGATATGAGGAACCCTGCAAGGCAGCTGGGGCTGTCACTGGAAAGATGGCAAAAGGGGGAGGAGGGGAGACAAAGATAACCTCTGGCTCCTTCATTCACCTCGTCCAAACCAATGTTTCTGGGACGCCGCTACCCGCTAGAGCAAGGGTCTGATCCGGGCGGCTCAGGTGAATTTTCCAGGGTGTGTCCCGGCTTCCCCGTGCCACTGGCACCTGCCACCAGCTATAACTTAGGTCTCCTCCCACAGCGGCCCAGAGACAGAACATCACGGCTCTTCTCCCAGCGGAAATGAAAGAGGCCTTTGCTTCAGCTGCCGCTACTTACCTGTCGGGTCATAAGAGATTTGATTTTTTGCATTGTCGAAATCGTGAGGAGGGTTCTCTGCCACAAAGAACTAACAAATCACACAGAACCACCAGACAGCTGGCCCCGATACAGGGAAGCCATAGTGAATGGTCACGTGGACCAGCCGACCCGGGTCATTCTTTCTTGCCCTGGGCATGCTGGGAATTGTAGTCTTCCAGCTGCCTCCGGCGCTTGCAATGGAGGAGAGAGAACAGCCAAGGTACTACATTTCCCAGCAAGCAAAATAGCGGGCGCTCCAGTTAAGCCTGCAAAGCTTGTTGCTCTGAGTGACCACGGCGATTGCCGGTCATTGCTCTCGGTAGGTGTGCTTCGGCGAGGCAAAAACCTAACTCATAGGTGACTAGCCATTCAGCGAAAGGAACAAAGACTAAGACAGTATAGAAACCAGACTGGCATGATGCCCCCTAGGAGTGTGACGAAGGAAACCCCACCTGGTCTAGAAGGGCGGGATGGGAGAACGTGAGACTGCCGGGAAGGAGCAGGAACTCAAGGGAAGGCACTCTACAAGAGGTGACCTGAGCACTTGGGACTCCCCTGGTAGCACTGGGCTTGTCTTGAGGAAAGGTGTGGTTCAGGTTGTCCAATAGGCGGCTGGCTAGGGTTAGGGCTGTTCTTCCTCAGTCTTGGCATCCACTGCCAAAAAGCCCTAAAACTCAAGGGTTCAACTCCCACCTATCATTTTATTACCTGCGCTAAGGCAAGTCAAGAAGGAAAATAAAACGTAATAATAAGCACACATGTCACTTTAAAGTCCTCTTTTCAATTTTAGCAGTTTAGTTAAATTGGACAAATTAATAGGGGAGTCGTTTGGGCCTCGATTTAAGAAAGAACTTTCCAATTATGAGAATACCAAAAAAAAAAGCCACCCAGAGCTAACAATTAATAATAGCTATCATTCATTATAAGCTTACTGCATTGTCAAGAACTCTGCTAGTAGCTTTACATGTATTATCTCATTTACCCACACAAACATCCTATGGGGGTACTATTATCTCCATTTTAAAGATGAGGAAACTGAGGTATGGAGAAATTAAGTTAAGAAATTAAATTAAATTAAGCAATTAAATTAAATTAAGAAATCTTGCCTAAGATTACTGCTGATGTGCATACAGAAACTGAAGGACTTATTATCCAGATGTTTAAGTAAAGGTTTTATGTATAGTGTTGAAGAGCAAGTCCTGAAATGTGGTACCAATGATTCTTTTAAATTTACATTTATTTTTAATTAATATTCATTAGAAAAAAAATAAAATTCAGATCCATGATTCCAAAAATATTTCTTAAGACAACTAAAAAAAAATGTTAGGGCCGGCCCATGGCTTAGTGGTTAAGTGTGCGCGCTCTGCTACTGGCGGCCTGGATTCGGATCACGGGCGCGCATCTACGTACCGCTTCTCCGGCCATGCTGAGGCCGCGTCCCACATACAGCAACTAGAAGGATGTGCAACTATGACATACAACTATCTACTGGGGCTTTGGGGGAAAAA